GTGTTTCTTTGGTAAACTTGTTTGTTAATCAATGTACTAACTAATGTGCAATCAGTATGTTTACACTCATAACATAGCTCTTTCTCTTTTTATATAGGTCTACTACATGATGTGGGTCATGGGCCATTCAGCCACATGTTTGAGCGCGAGTTTCTACCCCGGGTTCTCAATGGCCCGAAATGGTGATTTTCTATGTTTTAAGTATTATAGATTTTTTCCTCCCTTCCATCAGCATGTAATTACATGGTTTCTCGTTCTAATCTAACATTTCCATCTAAACTATCAAAGTCCATTAAGTTATCTCCAATTAGGGTTGTACTAAATGTACACCCAATCCATTACCTAATGGATTACACCCCCCTCACATGGAGGGGGGCCCAAGGATATTTTATTGTGTGTGGCCCCTCTCCATGTGAGGGGGGGTGTAATCCATTAGGTAATGGATTGTGTAAAGAGTGATGCTACATGTACATAACTTTCTACATAATGGTTTACATAACTACACGTGGCATTCATTCAAACCTGTAATTCAAATTTGACATTTACACATCAACGACAGGATGGGTGACACATCACATTGTGTCAATCATTGTGTACATTTATTATGTACACTTAGCATTTTCCTTGTATAAATTTAGACTAATCCTTTCTTGTTTGCATATCATATAAATTATTGACAGGATCCATACCTACAAGATGGCTTTTGAGTTTTGATCAACAAAATCATAAGCAAAAATATGGTTAATTATTTATTACCTATTTTAGAAAGAGAAGAACTATCATTTAGATCCCTTGGTACAAAGTCTTATTCAATCCAATAGAAATAGACAATCACGACGAAAAGGACTACACATGCATGAACTGTAAGAGATGGCCCCTTTTGGAACTAACCCACCAGTCCATTAATGCACATAAAGACGATGAATAGCAAAATAGACTCCAAAACTATTTTGGACATTATTATCCGAATATGATAATGTTTTACAAATTAAAGCCACACATTCAATAGCTATCTAATCCAAAGTCTTGATTGAAATTGGTAGGAAATTATGTGAGCCAACCCCAGCTGATAAATATGACTATAATAATGACAACGATATAGTGACAATGACTCGATTCTCGAGAAGGTGTCTTCCATTCAAACATAAAAAAATCTTCTGAAAAATAAAGGTCTAGATATCGTCCATGTGTTTAATTAGATTTTAGCTTTCTTTATTTTTTTACGGCCTAGAATACTATAAGATAGGTGAAAAGGAAGTTGAACCTCTAATCAACCTAGACATGTGAAAAATTATCTGTGTCGAGAGAGATTTGAGATTAAGTAACTTAGTGGGTGCTAGAAAGATTTGAGATCACGTAAGTAACTCAGTGGATGTTTTCTAGGGTTTAAAAGAAGAAAATACAGTATAAACAAACCACACTGTGCAAAGTCAACAAAATTATTGAGTTCCATATCAACAACTTTAGCATCATCCTCCATAGCTTGGATGTATGTAATACGTCTTGGAACTAAGGCTCTAGTAACCGATTTCCTGCTATGCTAAGGCCAGTAAAGAGCTTTCATTTGGATCGTGAGCTTTTTCAACCCCAAAAACTAAGAATCAATAGAATATTTGTCCTTTCCAAGGAGTAATGTATAGGATTTTAAACTGATTTTCTGAATTATAGGGTCGACCCAATCCTAGCCCTACCGTCAAGGAGTACACGAAAATCCTCGCGGAGGAAGCACAAGAACTTGTTCGATGCCTTGTCGCCCATTAAACAAACCTTTCGAACCCTTGGATATGTTTGAGTTTAGCGGGTAAAATCATAGGGATAGATAGGCTTCTTGTTTCTTTGGAGCCC